CTTGACAGTCTTCGTAATACATTGAGAATCTGCAGACTTCTTATTACTTCTTGCGGTTGTATCTTTGTGATGTATTCGCAATCAACTTGCGGACAGGAGGACAACAAGAACAAAAAGATGAAACAAAAAGAGATTCCCCTCCGGGGAATCGTACACACGCCTTTCACTCACAAGCGAGTGACATTAGCAAGGCAAAGTAAAACCGCTCGACTATCACGGAATCAACATAAAAGCACAATGATGCGGAATGACATCTATTCCCTAGGCGCAAGCAACACGCAATTGACATGACGTTTTGTTGCGAAGCATAAGATCTCCAGGCACGTATCGGCGAGGGGAAGCATGACGAGTGCGGAAACTTCGGGTCACCGCGGCTTGAGATCCGATGGTTTCGGATCAGTGCCGGATAAACTATGTGTACTCCGTAACTTGCTCATATTTCCGTCAGCAGACATCCGAGGCCGCCTTGTTGCCCGGCTCGAGCACGAACTTCAATAGCCTGTTTTGTTCCTGAAGGTGTAGATTGATTGAAACTGAACTATTAGGGCTCATGGTCATCTCCGATACATAACTAGAGAGAGAAAAATGATGTATCAGGAATATGGGTGTGAAAGATGTTCAAAGCTGAATCAAATAAGTCAACAAAAAGGGTGGAAGAAACACGGGTTATCTTCTTGGTGCTACCGCCTTCCATAAGTAGAACTAGCAGCGGTGCCATGGGAAAGGCCGCCGGTGTCAATATCATTTATCCTCTGTAGGTAGTGGGTGTATCTATGATATCATATGCGGTTAAGCTGCAAGTGGGTCGGAAATAGTCCGACGGGATGGCGGGTTCTTGCACGTTGCAGCCAGCCTGTTTGGCACAAATTGTTACTTTCTCGCAGTCATTGCAGATATACTGGTAGACAGCAAAAAAAAAAAATCAATACACACTCTGTGGACAGACAGGCGGCATTGACAAACCGTAACCGCGTTTGGGAGAAAGTATCGTGCCTGCCCGGCTAAGTAGCGGAGCGCCGATCGCCACCAAATAATCCTCTTCCCTATCGATTCTATCTTCACCGAGTCATCCTTCTCGTATCCCGCCTCAACAAAGTTGATTCCACCTTCTTCAACCTTCTCTCTGTGCTACTAATCTCCCCTGCATCCATCTCCTGTACTGTCTAAATAGCTTGACAGGCTAAAGTTGTCCGATCTATTCCTTCGATCACCGTCCCCCACAATTCAGAGCTTTCTTTTCCCGTCTCCGGATTCGGCATCGGTTAATAGATCACGTGTGTCGGGGAAAGCAGAGGGCGTGATCATCAAAACACCCCGGGAAATGCATCCTGAGCAGAGACAGAGACAGAGAGACATTGCGACCGACACCACTGATTGGCCTAAGACATGGTAGCGCCGGACGCTGCTGAAGCAGCTGCCTCGCCATCGATGCAGGCCACAAATGAGAGCCCCAAGAAGCGAAAATGGACGAAGATTTTCAGCTTACCCCAGATTATCTGGGGTAAACTAAATATGGACATCCCCACTTTGCTGCTCATGATGAAGTATGTCCCACCGATTTTTCCACTATCAGATATGTGCACTAAAGCTAATTGCAACAGGGGAGCACTCCCACCCACGATATGTGTAGCTATGTATGCTTGCCTACCGACATCCTTTGATTAGTATAAACATCAGAACTGACAAGCTATAGGTACCAGTCGGATGTTGTGTCTGGTCAATTCAACACCGTTGGCTATTTGGTAGCTATCATCTCTGTCCTGGGTTTCTCCATCATGCCGCGGGCGAAATTCATTCAGATGATGGTGCTTGACATCCTCGCAGTCTGTGTGGCCTCCGCTTTCGCATTACTCATGATGTACTGCTCTATCAAGGCCCGAGAGCACTCAGAGCCATCTTCAGCGACATCGAGTGCTACCTCAACTACCTCTGTCTCGTACAATGCCTCCGCATCAGCAGTCAGTGGAGTCTGGCTCTTCTTCCAGATCTACGTGGTCCATACATTCAGAGCCAAATTTCAGCAGTTCCAATTTCCCGTGATTATCTATTCTATCGTTGCCAATGTCACGTTCACCTATGCGCCCCGTCTAGGAACTATGACCGCTGCGATCACATTGGTGAAAAAGTTGCTCGAAGCTTGTCTGACAGGGCTAGCTATTTGTACAGGTGTATCCCTGTTTATCTTGCCCAAGAGTACTCGAGGCATCATTCTCAAACAAATGGGAGGTTATATCGACGGCTTACGTGGCGCTCTCAGAGCCCACACAGCGTATTTTGAATCGTTAGAGCGTGAGGATATGTTTGGGCGGGCCGAGACCTACGACTCTCGAGTGGAGAAGATGACCGAGAGCGGCAAGGTTTACAGCCCAGAGGCAGCGGCTATCCGATCAGCTTGCCAGAAACTCACAGATCTCCATGCCAAGATTCACGGAGACTTGACATTCGCAAAGCGTGAATTCGCCATCGGCAAACTCGGTCCTGATGATCTTCAAGCAATTTTCAGACAGCTGCGTCAAGCTATGATACCGGTTGTAGGTCTAAGCTTTGTGGTGGACATTTTCCAACGTCTGTCCGATTACAACAAGTGGAATCAACCGATTGATCCTGGGACCCCAGAGGATATACGCTGTCGCGTTGTGCAGGAATGGAACGATATCATGCGGGCTGTGCATGATCCCTTCCGCTCTATGATCGATACAATTGATGAAGGCCTTCAGCATGTGTCGTACGTTCTTGAGTTCAGCAAACCGCCCAACTCATCAACTGCATCGAAAGAATCCGAAGATGTGGAGGCAAACGCAAGCCCGAAACCCGGCGAAAAAGCCTTTGCTGGCCTCTATGCAAAGAAGCTAAAGGATTTCAAAGCAGCGAAGCGTATCGCTTTGCGGGCCTGGGGCGAAGAGAAAGGAATTACTCTTCCGCCCGATTTTTTTGAGCACCCTTCTTCCGTTCACCTCGATTTCGATGATATACCTTCTGATAGTTCGGGCGTTGGACGAGATCGGAGCAGAAGGCAGCTGTATTTGATTCTTTACGTACGTTGGACTTTGTGCTATGCGGTGTCTAAAGCAATCTGCTGACTTGTATAGATGGAACAACTTCTCAGTTCCACTGGCCATGTCATCCAGGATTTCATCCACTTTGCCGACGAGAAGCGTGCGAGCGGAAAACTGTCAAGAAAACGGCTCATCATACCAGGATCTAAACGCCTATTGAAATGGGTTGTAAGCGCCTTCAAAGCGGAAGATACTCACGAGGATGATAATCTTGGTGGCGACATTAGCTCGCAGAACAATATTCTTCAGTTAGGCGAAGCATACAAGCATCGAAAAGACCCTGAACACCTACCCCCGGAGAATGCACTGCAAAGATTCGGGGACAAGCTTCGACGGATCCCCTCGGCCCTCCGCTCACCTGAATCCGCTTATGGCTTCCGCGTTGCCTGCGCCACAATGACCGTGGCTGTGGTCGCGTTTCTCCATGACACTCAAAGCTTTTTCGTCAAGCAGAGGTTTGTATGGGCCATGATCATGGTCAACCTGAGTATGTCGCCTACCTCGGGTCAGAGCATCTTTGGCTTTGTTCTCCGTATTCTAGGCACAGTCATAGCTATGGTGCTTAGCTTACTGGCTTGGTATATCCCCGGCAAGAAGACTCCGGGAATTATCGTCTTCCTGTTCATCTTCCTGACCTGCGTCTTCTATGTACCAATCAAACAATTCCGCTTCCGCATCATTGGCATCATCACCATCATTTCTACCTCCATGATAGTGGGGTACGAGTTGGAGGTTCGCAAGATCGGAGAGGCAGTGGCCAGCTCCAATGGACAGCAGTACTATCCCATCTATCTGCTAGCACCATATAGACTTGCAACAGTGGCTGGGGGTATCGCCGTTGCTTTCTTCTGGACGTTCTTTCCTTATCCGATCTCGGAACATTCTGCTCTCCGCCAGAGTCTGGGGGCATCTTTGTACCTTTTAGCAAACTACTATTCAGTTATTCACGAGACCGTCTCCGCGCGCATGCGAGGTGACGAGGGCGATCTGGCGATCAAAACCTCCTCAGGGCGGCGACTGCTCAAGGCCCGCAACAAGGTGTTTTCGAAGCAGATGCTCATGCTGAACAGCTTGCGAACCTACTCCGGCTTCTTGAAATGGGAAGTCCCCATCGGCGGAAGATTTCCGAAGAAGCGCTATGATTCGATAATAACATGCATTGACAGGTACGTCAGCCTGATTTTGATGTGGATGTCAATCCTTCTGACCATGTATACAGCATCGTCAGCTATCTGAGTCTTTTGGGATACGCGTCGGACACCCTCTTGCAACTTGGGCATGACGATGAATCGGACTCAGCTTGGCTTCATGACTTCAGAAGACTGGTAGCCAGCGCCCGAGTGACGACGCACGAGGTGACTTCCGTTCTATGTCTCCTCTCGGCTAGCATCACAAATCAACAGCCTCTGCCGCCGTATCTCAAGACCCCTCGTCCGTACAGCTTCTCTAAGAGGCTTGAGGCACTGGATAAGGATATTCTGAATCTGAGACATATCGCGGAGCCTGGCTTTGCTACCTTTTCAGTGTTGCAGATCTCCACCAGATGCATTGTTGGTGACGTGGAGAGACTAATGAAGTGAGTTGACCGTTTGACCCAATGTCGTATCATGCTAACCTAAGCAGAGACGTGAAAGCATTGGTAGGGGAGTTGGACTTCTCTTTTCATGCCATTAGCACTGCACATAGCGCCAAATCTTCGGCTGAGGTGTCGAGAGTCTCGATGACGGATCTGGACAAACTTGATTGATTCCAGTCTTTTGTGTATATAATCAAGTCTTTCTTCCACTAAAGTCAATCTCAATCCGTACATAAGTTTTGTGGTTCGTGCGAGATCTTTTATGGTATGAGGAAGGCTATTGATGGTCAGCAGGGAGCGGCTTAATGGGCGATGGCAGCTCATTTCCTGACAACCCCGCAGTTACGATCCACCCCTCCTTCTTCAACCTCATCTGAGCCGCAACTCACTACCATCAAGGACCGGTATGCAGGAATTTGAGATTGAGCCAGCCTTGCTATCTCAGGCAGCTGGTCAGACTGTCATTGTAACTGGAGCAGCCAACGGGATAGGAGCCGTTACCGCGACACTCTTCAATCATCATGGCGCCAATGTCATCCTATCCGATCTTGCGTCCCTGGAGGGGACGGCCGGAGCACTTATCCAGACATTCTCTCGACCTGAGAAGGCAATATTCCTTGCAGCCGACATCCTCGACTGGAAGCAGATGAAGACGCTCTTTCACGAGGCAGTTCGCGTTTTCGGAGAGGTAAACATAGTCATCGCCAACGCTGGAGTGATGGAGTCTCATCCAGTACTGAACCTCGACGATATTGACGAAAATGGCGATCTCAGAGAGTCGACTGAAGGTTTTCGAGTGATTGATATCAATCTAAAAGGAACCCTGAACAGTAAGACTCCTTCGCGCGTCACGTCATTCTCTACTAACGATCGACAGCTCTCAGACTAGCGATGCACCACATGAGGAACAAACATCAACCATCTGGATCTATTGTGCTTCTAGCATCCACCTCTGGGTATTTCGGAGGCACTGGGGTAGCGGCATATGTCGCTTCGAAACATGGAATCGTGGGGTTGCTTCGTGCCTCCCAGACGACTGCGCAGCAGTACGGCATCCGCATCAACGCCGTTGCTCCATTTTTCACACCGACACGGATCACAGCAGGGTTCTCAGATAAATGGCACGAAGCAGGTCTGGAAGCCAACACACCCCAGCGGGTGGCGGAAGTTATTGGGCAGGTTGCAATGGATCCGAACCGAAAGGGGTCCTGTGTTCTGGTGAGTGCGCTTCTATTCTCTTACGTTCTTTATGGAGGCTTTTCCCGGGACTAAGATTTCATTGTGACAGGTTGCCGGGAAGTATCTTCGTGAGATGGAATCCACCAGAACAAGAATGCTCGCGCCATGGCTTGGGGAGGATGTTGCGAAATTTATGACCAGCGCGATGCAATTTTTTCAAGACATAGGGGGTTATGTGCTCCCCAAGTACCATTAGACAACCTTCCATGTGAATGTCCTGCCGACTATTTCTTGGCTTCTTGGTTCCGAGGTGATTATCAATGTGACCTGTGCCTGCATACCAATACTACAAGGGAAAGCCAAGCTATCCAGATGCGGGACTTCTTGACTACCTGGGTGATCGGAATGCTCTTTTCGAGCGAATCACCCCAGTATCATTTCTTTTGCGTCGAAGTTATGGCTAGAACTGCACGATGACCGCTTCTAATGCAGGAGCGAAACTAGGGGGTAAACACCAATAGCACGGGTTACGTATCAGCTCCTCGCGGCTCTGTACTGCCCCCTTGCATACTGGAGTATGCTAGTATGTATTGACTGATATAGTCAGACCCATCAAGGCAATAGAATTCTGGATGATTGACTGAGTTGCATTAGTCTTCTGTGAGATGATGATGCAACGGAACTTCCCCTCTATCCACGATGATGGGATGCTCTGCCTTCCTATGTGCTCGACGTCTTTTTCCGTGTCGCACTCGGCTGTCTTATGAGCTCTAGTTGAATCACGGAGGTTCAAGAGACTCTGAGCACCGACCGACAATGGGCTTGGAATATGTTGACTCTAGCCATGATAAAAATGGCTGCGACGTGCAGCTGTTCAGCGGTAGATGCGTCCAAAACCTAGCTGAGAACACCGACGCCCCGGCAAGCCACCATGACAATAATCTCGAAGCCAATATCGAGCGGGCAAAATGGAAGCCGGACGTCAAGGAATGGCTGATGATCATATCAGCCTGTTTGCTGGTCACAATGGACGCTTTGAACGTGACTGTCGTTATACCCCTAATACCAGTATGTATGGACGACAGCATGCGTTACGTTGACTAAACCGTTCCCCTAGAGCCTATCAAGTACCCTCGAGCGAGCACTGGGCGGGATCCTCTGGATTGAGGCCTCGTATCTCATCGCCAGCGCCACGGGCCAGGCGGTCTTTGCCATGCTCACTGACCTTATTGGCGCAGGTCCTATTGTCCTTTCCGCGGTGGTGCTCGCGACGGCCGGGACGGGCGTCTGCAGCGGCTCAATGAACCTCGCCAGCCTCATCGCCGGCCGGTTTGTGCAAGGGATCGGAGGAGGAGCAGTGATGGCGTATTCGATCTTGGTCATGGCCGACATTATCCCCGACATGTACCTGGCCCACTACTCCGGGTATCTGTTTCGGGCTCGGGTCATCGGAAGCATGCTTGGCCTGGTTCTCGGAGGACTGTTCAGTGACTATACCTCCAGGATATGGGCTTTCTACGCCAGCTTTGCGTTCTGCGCGCTAGGGCTCCTCATAATTCCATTCGCCGTGGACCTGCGTGGCCGCCGCAGCATCTCCATGCGCAAACTCCGCAGCATGTGCTGGCTGAGCGTCGTTCTCAGCCTCGTGGGCATGGGGTGCCTGCTCATCGGCCTAAGCTGGGGCGGCACGTTCTACCCCTGGTCGAGCTGGCGGGTCCTCGTGCCTCTTTGCATCGGAGCCGGCGTGATTCTGCTGGTTGTGCTCTACGAGAGCATCTGGGCGACGCGGTCGATCTTCATCGCAGCAGACATGCAGTGCCTGCCTCGAGCGATGATGTACCTCAGCAGCTTCCTTCATGGGTTCTCGGTGCGTGTCCCCAAGTCCCCATTACCATCCACCCAGTGACGCTAATGAACGTAAAATTCCAGCTCCTCTCCCACCTGCTCAACCTCCCGATGTACCTGATCCTGATCCAACGCCTCACCCCGACCCTATCGGGCCTCAGCCTCCTCACCGTCACCGCTCCATCCGTCCCCGCCCTCCTCCTAGTCTCCAAATGGTCTTTGTTGCACCGTCCCCGCACCCTCCGCTGGATCATCCGCGCCGGCTGGGCCATCGGTCTTCTGGCCTCGTGCGCGTTCATCACCCTCGACATGCACACTCCGCCCCAGGCCTGGGTCTTCATCTTCCTCGCCACAGGGATCAGCCACGCTCTTTTGATGTCTGGATACCATCGCTGCCTCCAGCACCGACCACGATCGCACAGCCCTTCTGGACGCTGGAAGTCAGACAGCAGCAGCACCAACGACGCCGGGGAGCCTCGCACGGAAGTCTCCAAGGGAGGCATGCTGCTGTATTCCATCCTGCGGACGTGGGGCATGTGCATCGCGGTGACGGTGAGCGGGACCATTGTTCTGGGTCAGGTGGTGCGGGAGATGGGAGACCAAAAGGGAGTGGATATCCTGGGGCTGGGAGGGAATGGAACTGACGGAGATGACGACGGCTCGTCGATGATGATGATGCTGCTGATGATGATGGGTGAGAATGGGGGCAAGAACGGGAATGAAGGCGAGATGGAGGTGCTGCGCGGGATGTACATGGATGGGCTGCAGGCTCTGTGGAGGGTTCTGCTGGGGGTGGTGGCGCTGGGCGGGTTGTGTAGTTGCTTTGCGAGGTAGACTCTGAGAGTGGTTCCAAGAGGTAGCCCGAAGAAGGAAGACAACTGGGATAGAAGGGTAGGTTCGAGGTTACACGGTGTATCTAGTCATTGTGTTGGATGGTTGAGTTCTTGGAATACAAAGATCTCTGGGGGTTTAGTGCCAGTATCTCATGCTGCTCCTTGCGAATGCTACTACTTATGACATGTTGTACTTGTTCATCTCGCTGCGAGTCCTGACTTTTGCATATGGTGAACACCATGACAATCACAAAGACGAAGCAGTCGTGCATCCCAGATGCGAAGCAGGAACAAACCGAGTAAGATATCCAAGAAGTCCAACAGCTCCAACGTAGGAAGCGTACCACCTAAGCTTTGAAGACGAAACAAAAGCAGGGCAAGACAAGAAACAAGTCCAACACGCTGTCTAGATATGCTTTCGTACCAAAGAGAAATCACCCACAGTAGGACTACCCAGTCTCCCCCCCTTTGTCTTCTACTTCTCATGCTCCTCCTGATGAGCACCATTCCCACCTCCTTATCACATCATCCCCTCGCCCGTTATAACCCCCAATGACCAACGCGAAGCCACACCGCCGCATGGGCACGCCGAATCCCTCCTAATACCCTCGACAAGGGTGGTATTGCTCCTGTACTCCCGATATCTCGTCGACACGAGCGTTGCACCAGGGAAGAGAGTGGATTCTGGGTATAGAGTACGTGCTGGTGGTGCTGGTGCTGCAGCTGCTCACGCTGGTAGTGGTGATCGTTGCAGCGGTGGTGATGGTGATGGTGGTAGTGGAAGCAAAGAAATGAACAACCCACCGCTCCGTAATAGGTCTGGTCGCTTTCAGCACCTTCAAACGACGTCCCTTGACCCCGCTGGCGCCAGCTTATGTTTAGATAACAGGGTGGCTGGTTTTCCTATTTCTTTCCATTCCATTCTTTTGTGCTGGGCTGGGCTGACGCCCTCTTCACTGAGGGTTAGTACTTGAAGATAAAGCTTAACTTATTGGGCAGCGGGCGTGGTGGTGGTGGTGGTGGTGGCGGTAGTACTGTTCGTGGTGGCATTCACCTTGTTGAAAAGGCTTTGCAAAGTGCTTAATACAGCGTTTGTTATCTTTCTCTTGTGCGGTCCTCTTCAGGGGCAGGAGGAGAGACGCAGGGAAGGATTAGATTGTGGCCTGTGGACTGGTTTTGCTCTGTTAGTGGATAGGAGGTTTTGGGAAGGTTTTAGGGCTCGGGCGGTAGGTCAAGATGGATTAATGGGAACTGGGAGGAGAAATCTACAAGGCAAAGGGACGAGTCACAGAATGCGAAAGGGGAAAGGGGAATGGGCTTCATACTTTCGTTTCTAAGTCCTGCAGATAAAGACGAAAGATCTTCAAGCCTTGTTGAGGATTCCCTGCTCAGGAGCATGCATGTGGTTGCTTCATGCGCTTTGGGTTGGCACATAGAAGATAGGAACTTCTTGGTCTGACCGGCGGATCTGGATCTCTCATGGTGTAGTGTATGTATTCAGATGATACCTATGCCTCGAGGGCTGGGATATGGTAATTGATTGGAAGATGACTCATCCTGGGCCAATGGTATAGTGGCTCTTGGAGGTTAGAATGTATTTAATGAATGAGATCTCGAATTCGAGCGGAGGGATCTCAGATGATTGATGCTTGATGTCTTGGATACGGTGTATTCATCGTAAAGACTATTATAGCGCGGCCTTGGAGAATATGCTTGTCACGCATACAGGCATAGACTGCTACGATGGGTATTCACACCGAGATCCAAGTAAATTGGAGTGAATTGGCTAGTCGAGCGATCAAGACACAGTCACTCCGATGCGGACTTACTGGAAAGTGGAAAGCTATTCACGCCGTTGGTAAGTGACTGTTCTTGGTGCCCTTCACTAACCCTAGAAAGATTGCCTTCTGTCCTGCAGAGATTATTCCACCCTGAAAGCTACATCACCCTAAGCTACAAGGACTCACAGTTGACTGCGGTGACAGAGCCCGCATGTTCAGAATCTATAATCATCTTCATCTTCAGGAACAATGCAAACCTCCGACGATCGTCTCAACTCAAGTTCCCTGTCCTTGACGGAAACTTTCCCTCCCACAGATTCTCGAAGTCTCGCTGATTGCAACAACGACGTGCGAGAACTTCAAAATGTTTAAGAACAGAAGGACGCAAATCATACGCAGCTCGATTCCAGCAATTGTCATCCAAGTCGAGATTTGTCCGTATGAATGGGTATGGCGCCTTCATATGCTCGTCAGCCACCTGGGCTTCTTAGGGTTTGCTGACGGGTCCTAGCGGGCTTAAGCGCCGCGACGGACTTACGAGCCCATGGCTGACGAGAGCCATACACAAGAGAGAGCATCAATAGCATCATCATCCACTTACGGCAGATAAATAGCACTTTCCCCGAATGCTTGTCCTCAATTCCAGTATCATCTCAGAACAAAACAACAAAGCAACAAGACATTTAGCAAGGAAAATCAAAACACATCGCACATCCACACTCACAATGGACGGACCCAACACCAAACCATACCACATGCCCTCCGACGCCGTCTGGTTCAGTCAGTGCCCATCCACGCCCCTTCCCAAGCGAAACCAAAAACAAAACCACAAAAACTAACCAGCCCAAAAAGTCACCGGCTGCTCCTCCGGCATCGGCCAAGCCCTCGTCCACCACATCACCACCCACCACCCCACCCACCGTGTGGTCGCAACCGCCCGCAATCCCGCCAGCTTATCCCTCCCCGGCAGCAGCAGCAGCAGCAGCAGCAGCAGCAACAACCCCAACCTTCTCGCCCTGGCGCTAGACGTGACCTCGCAAGCCTCCATCGACGCCGCCCTTCACGAGACCCTCGCCCACTTCCACCGCATCGACGTCCTGGTCAACAACGCCGGCTACACGCTGGTGGGCGACACCGAAGCCGCCGCCGACGCCGAGGCGCGCGCGCTCCTGGACACCAACTTCTGGGGCGTGGTGGACCTCACCAAGCGCGCGCTGCGGATCATGCGCGAGGAGAACCCCCAAAATGGCGGGGCGCCGGGCGGCGTGATCCTGAACGTCAGCTCGATGGGCGGGTTCATCGGGTTCCCGGGGAGTGCGTTCTACCACGCCAGCAAGTTCGCCGTGGAAGGGTTCACCGAGGCGGTGGCGAGGGAGTTGCCGGTCGAGTGGAATAGTGAGTTCTCTCCCCCTTGTTCGTATACACCTCAGTTCAGAAGCCCTCATTTTCTATGATGGTGTTCTCGTCGCGCAACGCGAGCTAACTGCCGCCCCCCCAAAAAAAGTCCACCTCAGCAACATCGAGCCTGGCGGCGTCAAAACCAATTACGCCACGACCAGCCTCAAGACCATGGCCCACGGGCGTCACCCGGCGTACGACCACCCCAACTATCCGGCCAATGCGCTGTTGGCGTATATGGGCCAGGAGGAGAATCGGCGGGCGTGGGCGGAGCCCGAGGCGATTGCGCGGGCGATGGTCTCGATTGTCAGTCGCGGGCGACGGATCCCGATCCGGGTGCCCCTCGGCGCGGATGCCTTTGGGATGATTTCGCAGGAGCTGGAAAGTATCAAGAAGGATTTGGAGGAGGTGAGGGAGACGAGTCTGGGGGTCGGGGAGACGGAGCAGTTGGATTCGATTGGGTTTTTGCAGAGGGATTAGCTGGGGTCTTTGGAGGTGGAGGTTGTGATTATGAGACAGACTCCGTGTGCTTATGTGTGGTATATTGGTCTCTAGGTCAGACGATGTATGGACTAATCTTGTCTTGTTGGTGCTTTCGCTGGTGGGGTTGTTTGCAGTTGCAGTGCCTCGATTGGTAGACTAACTCGTTCAATCTGACGTCCTTGGATCTTCTTCTTGCGAAGGCTAGAACAATCATTACATCTTCTGGTGTAAGTCAATCCCGGGAGTCAAAGAAGGAAGGTCCATCCATCGAGATGCGGTCTAATACTCAGGCCACCCAGGGTCCAGCTGTTCCCTCCACGAGCGGAAGCCTCCGCGAATATCGACCACCTTCCGTCGTCCTTCACGATCCAGTCCTAGTTCCTTCAATTTCTTCACGACAATCTGGGAATCGTTGCCCATGCGACACACCACGTAGATCGGGTCCGTCGAGTCCGCAGCAGCAAGCTCCGCCGGCACCCACGATGGGAGTTGGGCCGCAGCGTCGTCGCCCTTGCTAGTAGAAGATGCCAGGATCGTGGAGATCGGGATATTGATACTGTTCTCGAGATTACAGATGTCGAACTGCACCTTCTCGCGCACGTCAATCATCGTCGGTTGCTTGCCCTCGTCCGCAGCCGACGACTGAGGGTGCAGCTCCCGATACTCCAGCGGCGAAACACGTTCCTCCGGCGCGAGGAGCATCTCCGGATCGGCACTGCCGCAGAAGAAGACATAATCCGTGGAGCCGGAACGCACCGTATCCAGGGTTACAGTCGCCTCTGCAGAGCAAACCGCGCAGTTGGCACGGCGGGAGCGCAGCTTGATCGATCGGAACAGAGGCGTAGAGTACGCGGAGAAGATATGCAGCGACGGAGGGCTGGGGGGCTGGGTGTCGTCGGCCGTAATCACCTTGATCGCTTCCAGAGCCTGCAGGACGCCCATCGTCCCAACCACGGGGCCCAGTATGCCTCCATCCGCGCAGCTGGTGACGGTGTTCGCTGGCGGGGGTCGGGGAAACACGCAGCGATAGCACGGTCCGCCGGTTTTGTCGCCCGCCGGTCGAGGCGGGTTGTTCAGTACCATCAGTTGTCCTTCCGTCCTAAGGGCGGATGCGGAGACCAACGGCTTACCCAGCAGCACGGCCGTATCGGAGATCAGGTACCGAGTCGCGGGGTTATCCGTACAATCTAATACGATATCGTAGTCTTTGAAGATATCCGCTGCAGCGTCGGGTGCCAGATGCTCTCGATGGGCGATGTACGTGGAATGAAGGTTCAATCTAGCAAGAAGCAAAGCATCATGGGTCAGTCAACCGTTATGTTACCAAGTGATAGAGCGAATACACGGGGCGAAGCTCACTCCTGGAGATACTCAATCGCACTGTCCACCTTCAACTTCCCCACGTTTCGGCTGCGATGCAGAACCTGGCGGTGCAGGTTTGACGACTCAACCGTATCCCCATCCACCAATCCTAGTGTACCCACGCCCGCTCCAGCAAGATACATCGCCGCCGGGCATCCCAGTCCACCTGCGCCAACAATCAGGACTTTCGCCGATCGGAGTCTCAATTGACCTGTCGCACAACGCCTCAAAGTCAGCCACATGCACCTCAAACCTTCCATATCGAACATCGTAGAGTGAATTTGGAAAGAGAGGAAATGAAAAGAGAGTACACACACCCTGTAGTCCCAGCTGTGGCACAATCATCTGCCTCCCATAACGCCGGTACTCCTCAGCGAGAAGTGGCCATCGGCTTTCCTTCGTGTCAGTATGCTGACTCTGTGAGCTGAGTGCCGCTTGCTCTGCGATCTGAAGCTCGCGTTTCAGACCGGCAAGCTGCGCCTCCGTGGCAGCTATTTGTGCGCGCAGCGATGCGCAGGTCTGTTCAAGGTCCTCCATCGAGTAAAATGGCAAGAGGGGCTATCGAAGTTCTGGATTGCTGTGCAGCCGAGGCACTCAGCCAGCCCGCAGACTTGATCTTATCAGCCATACGGGCTAAACCAGATTGGGTGGTAGCGGCTCGGTCGGCCAAAGCTGGAGAACCACGGACGAAACTCGGTGGGTGGAAACTGTTCATTTCCTGACCGCCCCTGGCTTCTCCTGGCAGAATAACGCTCTCTGCCTGAGGCAGCGCCATTTACCCTTTAGTGTTCTATGCTATGGAGGCGGAGATGATGATGAGCTTGGAATTATGTATAAAAAGGCCGCGTGCATTAGCTACATCAATGGGATGGCTGCCAGTCAAGCAATTCTAGGTATGACGGTGATCGTTCATCTCGTTGAGCTCACAATTCCTCCCCCTGCCTGAGGGGTCTAGTTGCCCGGGTGTCGGCTGCGCACCGCAACGCTGGGATTAACACCCAATCTTGGAAAAAGCTACTTGTGGCCTGAAAACATGCGTGCTCCAGCCTTATAGCTCAACACTCATACAGTCGGCCATTGTTAAGCTGCCTGAGCAGTGCATTATCAAGACGGCGCGCAAAATCGTGTTGATTGTCATCGGCCAGATACCTAAATTACCCAACCGTGCGAACCATTACATTAATAAATCAGACCTAAGCATTCTTGAAAAAGGGCAGTGTTCATATTGACAGACTGGCAGATTACGATGGGAAATAGAAATTCTCCACTGGCTCAAAAGAGCGGCTCAATGTATCGTTCAAGTCGATCGCGAACCAGCGTCCGCTGCTCAAATGCATAAGCCATACCTATCAACGCCTCTTCGCTCCACTTTGGTCCCAGAAAACTGACGCCAAGAGGGATCCCAGGCGCCTGCTCGATCAGATCCCCCCGCGCATTTGCTCGAACCGGTGTTCCGCTCGGAAATGCCCCCATCGGCACGGTGATCACTGGCGTCCCAATTATGGCAGGGATATCAGAGGCCAGGTGAGTGGGCAAGATGACAGCATCGAGCTCATGTCGTCTCAGTGCTCCCAACAATCCCCCTTCATCGCCAAATTGCAAGTTGTCTTGATACAATGACCAGAATCCGGGCGAGGTGTTGTTCATGCCCGCCGCAATAGCTTGATCCCAGATCCCCGTGTCACGAGATGGATATTCCTCTGGTGGACTGTGTTGAGTATAACGGCGAATGTCTACAACGCTGTGGAGCCGGTTAGGGTTGCCGGTCAGACTTGACAGGTAGGTGGCGATATTGGAAGTGAAATCAGCGGCCACTACCAGAGCTGGAATAGAGCTGGTGGAGAAGTCACTGTACGCCGTGTAGTTTGTTTCATCGATGACAGCTGCGCCAGCACCTGCAATGATGGAGACTGCCTCTTCGAAGACCGGGAACATGGAGGCATCGGACTGCTCGAAATAAGCGATGACATTCCGTGGAACACCGATGCGCTTCCCCTGCAGCCCGGATAATTTGCAGGCATCCACATAATTGGGCAGGTAGTCGCCAAAGGGCGAGGCCAGCGTATAATTATCCATGGAATCTGGGCCAGCAATAGCTTGCAACAGCATGGCAGCGTCTTTGACTGTCTTGGCCATGGGTCCAACGGTATCCTGGCGCTCACTCATAGGGATGACCATGTATCGTGATGCAAGACCGACGGTGGGCTTGATACCGACGATGTTGCTCTTCTCAGCGGGAAGCAGAATGCTGCCACTAGTCTGTCAGAACGCAAGGCAATTAGCTCACATCAAGTCCCCTGGTCAATAGTCGCCGGCTTACCTCTGTACCCAGAGCAAACGTGACCAGTCCCAGATCAGTCGCAACAGCGCTCCCACTCGAACTTCCGCTCGGATCCTGCCCAGGATAGTAGGCCGCATACGTCTGGCCCCGTCTGGCATTCCACCCATTGGACGAATTGAACGACCGGAAATTGGCCCATTCCGACACGCTGCTCTTGCCTAGGATGATGAGCCCCTGTTCCCTGAGTTTAGTCACCACAGTGGCTTCAGCAGGAAGCTTGGATCCGAGGAGAGCATAAGATCCGCCTGTGAAGAAGTCAGCCATCAGTCACCCCAACCCACCCAACACGTACCTGTATTATTGAGTTGATCCCCCGTTCCGATCAGATCTTTAATCAGAATCGGCAGCCCATGAAGAGGCCTACGCCCATACCCAACATAAGTTAGCGGCCCAATTCCAAACTCCGAGTCCCCATGGACAACAGACTTACCCACGAACTTGCCCTCTGCTTCGCTCACTGTCAAGAGCCGCTGCAATACTGAGTGCCTCATCGTTCACCTCCAGCACGGCATTCGTCTTCGAATTGACCTCATGGATCCGGAGCGTGTACGCCTAAGAAGCATTCCCGGTTAGCGATGCCTTCATTCAAAATTCGACTTTGGGGAAGCCAAGGCTTGAGAGACACACGCACCTTGACCAATTCCACACTGGTAAAGCAACTCTTGTTGAGGCCCTCCTGCAGATCATCCACCGTAGCGTCGAGCAAGGACGGAAGGTCGCATTCCGGCCGGCCCTTGCTTGACAATTCGCCGTGCTCCGGAAGCAGGATACGGCAAGCATAAGGAAAAGCCACGAGGGGCAGAAGGTGCCAGAGATGCATGGTTGCTAATGAGGTGTAAGGCAAGTAGAGAAGGTCGAAGCCTCACAAATGACGCGGCGCCGAAACGCTATGTTCGAAGCGAGATATCCCGGATGTGGAGGGAGTAGTGAAGAGAGGGAGAGAAGGGAATAGCTCATATATGACATGTAGATTAGATTAGGGGGATGGGATGGATGTACAGTACAGTACGGAGTACCCCGTGTGCTGCGAAGGGAAGCCTCTACCGCTCCTGCCTGCACTCCTCAGGCGTCGGTACTATGACTTACTAGTCAAGGTCAATGAACGAGTGACAGGTTTGCTGCACGGTCTTACTTCTCCAGAATCTGTCAGGGAAGGAACGGAAATAGTCCACTGTACTCAAGGAGTGTGAACTCTGACACCGGCGACACCAGAATTGAGATGCCAAGCCTATGCAAGGACGGCTTGCTGCAGAAACATGAGTAATCACTGGTGACCTGGAGAGACACGAGCAAGAAAAGTGTTTCTTCTATTGAGGCCCTCATTTGGACTACGACGAGCCCGTATGAAACAGGGGGAGAGTCTCTGCCATGATGTCTCGGAACAGTCCGACCAAGAAAAGCAAAGAAACCTTACTGATGGAACGCTACGCTTGCTCGCTGGAATTGCTTGAGATCATTGAAATCTGTAAGTATAGGTATCCTCTATCAAGCTGCCAGTCCACGATCATGCAAACAGCCCCCGATATTCTAAGTCTCTCTCTAGCCTCTAATATCTATGTAAGGATCCAGCCCCCGCGGTAAAGTCATAATCGTATCCAGGGGAAAGAATCAAGCCACAAGACCTAGCCAGCTAGACCCTGTCTTGGCTGTTCCGCACACGAACAGTCTCCGCGTTCATGTCTTCGATGTGAGTGGCGCCTTGCTTGTGCATGGTGTGCTCCACCGCCTCTCGTCGTTCGTTCTCGTTGACCGCGCCGAAGAGAATGTCCATGTCCTCCAGGCTGCGACCCTTGGTCTCCTTGGCGAAGATGATGACAAAAATGCCTGCTCCAATACAGAAAATGCCGAACATGAGGAAAGTCCTCCAGCCAAGGCTGTGAACAGCTTTGGGAGTGATCTCCGTCACCACAAAGCTCCAGAGCCACTGTGAGGTCGCTGCCAAACCGACGCCGTATGCACGTAGTCGTGTAGGGAAGATCTAGTCTCACATGTCAACTATGCCACTCTGAGATGCAGCAGAAACTCAGGAGGAACTTACCTCACTAACAACGACCCAACAGGTCGGACCCAGCGAAAAGGAGTAGCCGATGACGTAAAGGTAGATCATGACAACCATAGCAATGGAGGGCTGAGAGACACCACTGGCGTTCGTGTCGGGGGGATATGAGGCCAAGAGAGCCCCAAGGATGATCATCATACTAGCCATCCAGAAAGCGCCACCAATCAAACTGGGCTTGCGACCCCATCTATCGATACCAACGTATAAGAAAATTGCAGTGGCGACGACTTTCACTGTTCCATAGATACCGGTCGCAAAAAGAGAGGAACTCGTAGCACTGAGTCCGATAGTTTGGAAGATCTGCGAACTGTAGTACCCAATGGAGTTGGTTCCACTCCATTGCTGCCAGAACATGAGGCAGAAGGCAAAAGCAAAGCGCTTGAGGTTGCTGGGCACCAAGAACTCCTTGTAAGTCAGTCCTTCGGTGGCAGATGCCTCCTCCTCGACAGCTGCTCTGATCTCGGCCATTTCTTGCTGTACCGCGTCACTGTCAGGCGCCTCGTTGCGAATGTAAGCCAGAGACTCCAAGGCTTCCTCAAAGCGGCCCTTGCTGCTCAACCAGCGCGGCGACTCCTTGAGGAAGAAAAGCCCAATCAACATGAGGCCACCTGGGATGAGCTGAATCGCCACGGGAACACGCCATTGCTTGGTGCTGGGCTTGATGTGCAAAGAAACGCCATAGTCGAGCCAGTAAGCGAATGTGCTTCCGATGACTAGGAATTCCTGGAACAATCCCGAGATCCGACCACGAATCCTCGCAGGACAGTTCTCGCTGACGAAAACAGGTGTGATACTGGACATCCCCCCGATGCCCAAGCCAGCAATGACACGACCACCATAGATCTGGCCAATTGCATGCTTGGAGGCCACCTGCACGGCTGCTCCAATAAGGAAGATGAAAGTGAAAATCATGAGCGAATAGCGACGACCCAGACGCTCATTGAGGGGAGCAGCAGCAATAGCACCAAAGAAGCAGCCCGCAGTCAGCAATGATACAACATTGGAGGACACTTGTGAGTTCTTGGCGGACGCGAAACCGGTGGAATCAGTGGGAAGGCCGAAGTCATTCTTGAAGCTGTCAAGGGCAAGGACACTACCCATCACACCAGTGTCGAAGCCTAGCACACGCGAAGGTCA